GTTTGTCTTCCTGTATTTGGTGCTAAAAGAGAACTCCAACCTTCCTTCTTTTGTAAGTAAGCTGTTTTTGTTTTTTGTTTTTCCCAATCATGGAAAGCTTTTAGAAGATTTCTGTCTTGATCCTTTTGTCCTGAAATTAGGCTGCCACGTGTTCATGAGTGGGTCTTTTTTCACATTTCTTCTGGGAGCCCTGAAAATATGAAGACTCCTCTCTCTCTAACACTGAACAGTTGATTTTTGTTGTTGTTCTTGAATTTTTCTTTCCCTCTATTTAATTTTCTTTCTCTGGAATTCCTACGAGGCAGATGTATCTAAACTCTAAGACTTCACACCTCCAGTTGTGCTCCAGCCTCTTTTGTCAGTGGGAGTTTTCTGGCTCCCTTGCCCGCTTCCATAATTCTAGAGCCCACTGACTGAGTTTTCCATTTTTACCCTAAATCAATAGATTTTCTTTCTGCCAGCAAAAAACATGAAGACATGGAATGGAAAAATCAAACTCTCATTCCCAGCGGTGACCAAAACTTTTAAAAAACGGCCATGGAATACGCTGAAGAAGAAAAATGTAGCATACAATGTGAAATTCCAATCAGATTCCAAGTAGTTCTGAAGGGTGGGGGAACTTCACTAAATGACTTTAAAGTTCTTAAGGAAAAATACATATAAGAGACAGGAATTGACAAATGAAGTATAACAATAGAGTTCAGACAAAGGTCCCCACAGAAATAGGAATTTAATATACCACAAAGTCAGCACATCGATTCAGGAAGAAATGGACGCATCATGAAACGAGTAACGGTACGCGCAGTAGCCACCTGGAGGCCAATGCTACAGCTCATTCCGTATCCCAGGTAGACAAATAAATTCCAAGTAGAGTGAAAAGCTGAATGGAAAACATTAAATAAAACACTTATAAATGAATGCATAAATAAATAAATACATATTGTCAAGATAAAATTTAGGAAAATATCTGAAAGAACTTGGGGTCAGGAAGGCCTTCTTAAGCAAAACGGGACACTTAGAAGCCATACAGAAAATGATCAACACATGCGACTATAGTTATTAATTACAGTAATACTTTTTAACAGGTAAAATGTGGAAACCATCAAAGGAACAATCATCTGATAGGAGGTTAACAACCCATTAATCTATAAGAAAAAGAATAAAAAAAGTGATAGAAAACAGGACAAGAGATATGAACTGTTGATTAATAGAAAAAGAAATGCAAATGGTCAATGAACGAATGAGAAAAATAACCTTATTAGATATGAGAGAAATGCAGATTAAAACAGAATGAGATACTTTTGCCCGAGATTGGCAAAGATTCAAAAGACTGATGCTGTGGTTATGAAGGACAGACACCAGTATGCTTGCTTATATACTGGGGTGAGCTGCTACACTGCTACAGGCCCTTGGGAGGGTAATTCAACTTTGTGAATTTGGTAGATGTTCACATACTCTGAGACACAGTGTTGGTGGTAATCATATAACCCTGAGAAGTCAGGCCCAGCCTACACAGAACTCTGCACAGGAAGTGGTGGATTATTTACATAATTCTGTGAATGCAATGGTGGTAACCACATAACCCTGTAATCTGCATTGTGGTATTCGCATAGATCTGCAGCACTGGTCTTGATCTTTTTTTTTCTTCATTTTATAATACTCTTTATTTGATGAAAGAATTTACCTTCTTTGTGTACATTGGAATATTATATTCCCTATGTATTTTACAGGGTTACAAAATGTCTTGTGATCTTAACACAGCCCTGTGACAGAGGAGCAGGATGTAATCCTGAAACTCTGTGATGTTGATTACGGTCATATTTACATGACTCTGCAGTGTTAGCTGTTATTCACATGACAGTGGTGACAGTGGTACTCACATAATTCTGTAGAGCTCTGTCACAGTGTTGGTGGTAGTGACATAACTGTGATGTCATGGTATTCACATAATTCTGCAACATTGTCTGTGGTATTCGGTTCACCCTGTGACACTGACGAGGGTACTCATGTAATGCTGCCGTGTTGGTGGTGGTATTCACATAACTCAGTGATATTGTTCATGGGCTTCATATGACCGTGACATTGGAAGCCGTGTTATTCATATAGCTGAGTGTTGGTGTTGGTGTTGATGTAGTTTTGTGTCATTGTTTGTGGTATTCATATAATGCTGCATGTGGTGGTGGTGGCATCACGTCTCTCCAACATTGGTGGAGGAGGATTCACACAATCTGAGGGATTTGTTGTGGTATTCACATAGCCTGCCATGCTTCCCCCAGTATTGGCATGATCGTGCAATTCTGGTGGTGTTATTTATTGTATCTATGATGGAGGTGATGGTATTACTCATATAACTCTACAACTTGGTCATGGTATTCACACAGCTCTGATGATAGTGACATTGGCATTAACATATTATTGCAAATTAGTGGCGGTGGTATTCATGTAAATCTGTGACTTTGGTCAGGATATTCACAAAACTCTGCATCAATGGTGGTGGTAGTATTTGCATAACTCTGTGGTGCCGGTCACAGTATTGGCATGTGGCTGCAATGTTGGTGGTGGTGGGATTCAAATAACTGCATTGGTGGTGGTGTTCTCTTAGCATTGCCACAGTGGTTGACGTATTCATGTAACTCCGTGGTAATGGTTGTGGTGGCAGTCATGTAACTGTCATGGTATTAGATGTAGCAATCCCATAACTCTGCAAAGTTGGTTGCAGCCTTCACATATCTCAGTGACAATAGCCGTGGTATTTGTATAACTCTGCCATGGTGGTCATGCTGGTATCCACACAACTCTGTACTATTGGTGGTGGTATTCACACATCTACAATGGTGGTTGCAGTATTCACACACATCTCTGAGGTTGTAAGTTGTTGGCGGTAGTCATATAACTTTGCAACAGTGGTGGTGATTATATTCATGTAACTCTGCAATGTTGCTGATGATAGTGTTCTTAAAACTGTGCAATGTTGGACGTGGCTGTGTTTACACAAATACTGGTCATGGTTTTCACCTAAGTCTTCAATGGTGGATGTGGTATTTGCATAACTCTGGGTCTTTAGTTATGTTATTCCCTATAAATACAGTCATCCTTGATATCCTCAGAGGAATAGTTCCAGGACCCTCAAGGATACTAAAATCCACGATGATCAAGTCCCTGATATCAAATGGCATAGCATTTGCATGTAACCTATCCACATTCTCCTGTTTACTTTAAATCATTTCTAGGTTACTTATAATACCTAATTCAAGGTAAATGTTATGTAAATAGTTTTTATGCTGTATTTTTTTAATGTACTGTTTTTTCTTTTCCCAAATATTTTCCATCCACAGTTGGTTGAACCCCTGGATGCAGAATGCACAGATGGAGGGCTAACTGTATACATCCATGGTGGGGCAGGTATTCATATAGCTCTGTAATGGGGGTGGTGGTAGTCACATAACTCTGCATTGTTGTTCATGGTTTCACATAGCTCTGTGACATTTTCATGATATTTACATAATTCCACAGTGATGATGGTGGTATTCATGTAATTCTGCCACATTGTTTTTGTGTGACATTTTCATAATTCTCACAGTTCCGGAATACCATGGTGGCGGTGGTGGTATTCCCAGAACTCTATGCGGTTGGTGTGCATGGTGTTCACATAACTCTGTGCTGTCAGTTGTGATAGTCCTCCAACTCTGTGGCTTTGGTCATGGTTTTCACATGGCTCTGTGATGGTGGATGTGGTGTTTGAATAACTGTGATTTTGATGGTGGTAGTAGTCACATAACTCCATGGCACTGGTCCTATTAGTCACGTGAATCTGTGATGTGGGTTGTTGTAATCACATAACTGCCGTGCTGGTGGTAGTCCCTTGCATCTGTCTCTGTGCCCTTGGTCATGGAATTCCTGTAACTGAGGTGGTGGTGGTATTCGAATAGCTGCACTGGTGGTGCTGTTCTCTTAACACTGCCACAGTGGTTGAGGAATTCATGTAACTCTGTGATGATGGCTGTGGAGTAGTCGTACAACTCTGTGGTGGTGTTAGGTATGGTAATCCTATAACTCTGCAGAGTTTGTTGTGGCACTCACATATCTTAGTGATAATGGCGATATTGGCAGTAGTGCAATGGTGGGAGTAATAGTCACATTTATGGTGTAGAGACTTAGGCTTAGAGAAATTTAAAGTTTTCCTTAAAGTTGCAAAATGAGAATGACAAAGCCAGGCTCAAATTCAGGTTTGCTAAGTAATTCAAATGCAGCCTTTTCTGTACCATACTATAAGGTTTCTTCTGGCTAAATCTAAATTTAAAGGCGTTTGTCTAAAACATCTGTACCGTCAAACTCCCCAGGGGCTTTGGAAGATAAATATTGTATCTAGTTCTTTATCTGTAACTTTAGTTATGTCCATATATTCACATACACATGTATATTTTCACGTGTGAAACTGATCAAAATTTAGCTAGATGTATGTATTTGAACTTCTGAAAATTTATATTAAGTAATGCAGAAGAGGGCTTTCTGATAAACCCAAGTAAAGCACTTTTGAGGGTAGTCTACAGTTTATTCATAGAAACCACAATATATTCATTAGATAATGAAGTTTAATGTTGATGAAAGTGTTGGTCATAAAATGTGATGTTGGGGTCTGGGTGGTGGTTTCATGGCAAATATGTGTTTAAACAATCATTGACTTAAACATTTAAGCTTTCTGCATTTTATGGTATATCAGTTATTCCTTAATATAAGTTTTTAAAAACGTTTATCTAAATTAAATAAAAATACTAATGGGTATTAGAAAAGCCCCATACAGTGCCAATCTGAACACTCAGGACATTTTCTTATGGCCGTTATTGCTTTTATGGAAACAGAACAGAGCCTCCCCACAAAATCTGGCATTAAAATGTGATTTAAGAAATGTGTGTGGCATCCCAGAATGCCTTTGTGTACCTGGGAATTGTCTCTTCATCTCAGTTCTCAGGGCTCATGATGTGTGTTTTTTCCCCTTGCAGTACTTGGGGTGCATTGAAGTTCTACGCTCAATGAGGTCTCTTGACTTCAGTACAAGAACACAAATTACCAGGTAAGCCCTCTTGAAAATGGATTCCTGTGATTTTACTGCAGAAAGGAAAGATCTCTGAGGTTAACGGCCTAGAAATCTCCAAAAGGAAAGACTGCCCCTTGGAGTGTTGATGGCTGGTGACAGAGTCAGGACTCCCTTGTCTCAAGACTTTTGCTTGTGTGTCCATGTTTGTGACATGTAGCTCTCGACAAGAGCACCTTGAAGGACAAGCTGCCCTTCCACGCTCTTTTTGAAATTTAGCTGCAGATGTATGGAGCAACCTGAGTGTTTGCGTTTGTCTTTTTAATGTGTGAAACTCTAACACAAGATTGGTATGATAAAATTAACTGAACTGTGTTCTATTTTAAAAAAGAAAATCAAGATGTCAAGAGAGAATTTTTAAAAGTATACACAGAGAATAAAATGTAGAACTGGAAGTAGACATACCCATAGGAGTAGGCATTTAGTAAACGGACCAATTCTCTAAGGTGTACGTGACTTTGAACGGGTTTTAAATATTTTCCACCAACAACTAGGGGCCAAACAACTTTTTCTTTCTCCTCCCTCATGACAGGGTCCAGACTTCTTGAGGGCCAGTATTTAAGCAGTGTTTTTTGTTTTTTTTTTAATAAAATCTTATAGTCTAGTCTAGTTCCTAGTAGAGCATATACCTTTAGAAAAATGCCAATTTCCTGTCATCTTGAGGAGGAGAACCGGGAAGCTAGAATAGTCTGTGAAATTGCTGCATTTCTGTGAATCAGGAGCTGAGGCTCTTCCAGCACTTACAGAATCGCCTAATCTAAATAGTCGCCTCAGAAAATGCATTATACTTGCTTTGTTCAGATCACTCTGTTGTATATATTTGGACTAGCAAACCAAAGTCTAAAGATTGAGCTTCAGAAAGCAATTTTTTGTAGTAAGTAATTGCTAAATTGAGGTGCATGCACCCCAATTCTGTTGTAAGTACCATTATAATACCTCCTCTTCCTCACTGAAAAAATTTATGATCAAAAGCGTTAATTTCTTTTTCTCTTCAAAATGACTTGAGATACGCAGGACGGGGACGTACCAATATCAGTGGTCTACACTAAGGAAGGAATCCACCTCCACATATTTGTAGAAAATGGTTCACGAAAATTTCAAAGTCAAAGGAATGATATTTTTAATTGAGACCATTAAGAGGAGAGTTGGAGCATTTCCTTAGTCAAGCGAGCATTCCCCTCACCCATGAAAAGGCACACCCAGTGCATCGTGGGCAGAGCACTTCCTCAGTGCCTGGGGGAATTACGGGAACTGCATGACTGTCCTCAGTCTCCCATGTAGAGGCTGTTTTTAAAGGAATAAACAGTCAATTAGGAAAGAGCTGTCAACCATTTCTACTAAATCCCCTTTGTAAATGCTAGGATTTCTGAGATGATTTCATGGCATTTTAATTCTCCTGATATATTTATTAAACATCCACTGCGGCTGTGCACACACTGCATGCTCTAGCAGCATGGGCCGTCCTGCCGTGCCAGGCCTCCTGGTGTCGGGGAGAAAGAAGTGCGCACAAATGATTGGGAGGTATCTGAGGGGCACAGACCAAGTCCTGCTCCTCTGGGGTGGCGGTAGGATGGGCTGAGGGAACAAGTGAATAACTTCACTTTTCTCTTTGATGGGGACATAACTGGGCACCGTGGGGTAGAACCCAAATAGAGAGAAATGATAATAACATTGCAGAAGAGAGCAGTTGGAGCAGACGCTGGTTGGTGTGAGGTTTCGATGTCTTTCTCCAGTCCCATTCCGTGTAGGTTTCACTGAAGGTGCAGCAGCATCATGGGACAAATGGAGCCCCTCGCGGGGAGGACCCAGACCAGTCGGAGGCAGCTGCACGGATCTGAGTTGGGCCACTGGGTTTCCACGCTGCTTGCTGTGGCTACAATGCCATTCTTGGACTTAGGAAACTTGGTGCTGAATTCTAGTTGTACCAGAATCACCTTAGATTTTATTGCACTTTTTGAAAGCTACCTTTTCTTGTCTCCAGGATGCCTTCTGTCTCTTGCGTCACTTTTGTTACGTGACATGTTTCTTACTTTAGTTAATAGCTGGAGACCAAGTGCTAAATCAACAGGAGAAGGAAGCCAGTTGTGTCCACAAGAAGAACACCCAGTGTGTTTTGTGGACGTGGCACACTGTGGTGACTGAGTGTTACACACGCCTGCGATTAAACTCCGCCGCCAGACTGTGCTTTACACACTCAAGCTATCTTGGAAGGTTGCAGGGAAGTCTACTGTTCTGATTAAGTCATATTATCTAGGCACTAGGAAAACTGGTTTCCGAAAGTCCTTTTATAAAAATATATTTTTATGAGTAGATAATTAATCCCTACTTATTCTTTCAATTTAAAATTTTAGATATAATTTAAAAATTCAGATACAATTTGGAGACTCTGAGAGCTGTACCCTGTCTCTTTTTGTCAGGGTTGGTTTAGTTTCGTGCTGTTCCTGGCATCTGAGTTTAAATTGATGGTGATGCTTTTGAAAACACCAGGCATGGATTACTGATGTCTTACTAAAAGACGATTTTGAAAGAACTTAGTGAAGTCACCACTGATTATGTAATTAGTGCTTCGGTAGCTGCGAAAAGCCTCAAATCCTTAACACCTTGGGCCGAGGTGCTTGGTGACTCATTCACTCAGTGGAGCCCACTGTTGTGTGGAGTCAGCTGGCTGGAGAGCCCAGCTCTGCCGATGTAACCCCAGCCCCTCGACTTGCACACCTAGTAAAAAAGGTTCCAGAATAAAACCTACCTTGACAAGATTGTTGCTAGAAATCAGTCACCATATCTGATGCCCACAGCACAGGGCCTGGCAAAGGGGGAATACACTGTAGAGCAGCAGTCCCCAACCTTTTTGGCACCAGGGATAGGTTTTAGGGAAGACAATTCTTCCACGGACTGCGGAGTGGGGTGGGCAGCGGAGCTCTGGGCCCGGTCCCTAACAGGGGGTTGGGGACGGCAGCTGTGGAGTGTTGCTCAGTCCTGTTGCCGACTTGTATTTAACACAGTGGGCACAACACTCCAGTGAGGCTGAAGTGGAAAATTCCACTGACAAGTCTCCACCCCTGTCATCTCCCCTAACAGCTGTCACTCTTGCTTCTGTAAACTGCTTGCGGCAACTCCCCTACCAGGCACCAAGGTGGCTCAGGACCCTGCCCCGGCTAAAGATAACCTCATTGTAACTGTGCCCCACTTCCTCCCTAAACAAAATGTATAAAAGACTGCTACACTCTTTGTTCGGGGCTCAGAATTTGGTGGCGAGTCCTCTGCGAGCCAGCCGGTGTAATAAAACCTGTTTTGCTGTACTTCAGCGTGCCTCTCGGTCTGTCCCCGGTCAATCTTGCTGTAACAAGGTGAGTGGCCAGGAGCACGAGAGCAATTGAGGTCACGTAGGTAGATGGTGGCCCATGGGTCAGGCTGCTGATGGGTAGCACAGAGGAACACAGGCATCCAGCCTCTGTGAAGGCTGCGGGACCACAGGCACGCACTCCAGAAGAAGAAATCACTTCTGCAGAGAATAGTTGTGTCCCAGTGTGCCTTGGCCACCAGCCTCAGCACAGTCTTACAGAGGACGGATCCCCTGAGCTCATGTGTACTAACAGTGTTCCCTGTCAAATATGGCTTTGGAAGGTGGCATATGAGACCCCCCGCCTTTGCAGGTTCACAGTGCACACTGCAATATTAAAGGCTGTACAGAAGCCCACTGTGGAGAGCAGTGAAACTTGGCTGTCCTCGTGTTTCCCACACTTGCTCAACTGACTTGAGGGAACTGCCCTCCCCTCCCTCCTCCCTCCCTCCATGCCTGTGACACCCCCTGGATGCATGGATTTCACCCTGCTGTGCGAACTCCAAGGGGCTTGAGGGAGGTGTTACCCTGGGGTAGGTGGGGGCCCCACTCAGGGGGACCCAGGCTTCCCAGCTGGAAGTCAATCAGAAACCTCTGCACTGATCTGAGTTGGGCCATTGGGTTTCCACGCTGGTTGCTGTGGCTGCAAATGCTGGACATCTGCTGCCCTGGGCTTCAGTCTGACTGCCAGAGAGCCGCTTGTGTGGACCGTGTGTGTGGACCCTGAGAATTCCTCTCCTGCAAGTCTCTCATTTCTAACAGAGGGATGATTGGAACTGTGCTAGTGTGTTTCCTGGATGAGTGGGACAGGATACGTTACATGGTGAAGATTCCAGGGGAGACAGTGCTTCAGGGTCTGAGCACTTTTGGTGGCCATGGAGTGCCACGCCCCTGGCCTGTTGAGCGCCCTGAGGGCTGTGATCTCTGTTTAGAGAGCCCTGTGGGGCCCAGCTGGAGAGGGATAGGAAGCCTCTGTATCACCTAGGTCACTAGGCCTGGCACAGCCTTGCCTTCTTTCCCCATTACTTTGACTTCCTCACCTACTTATTTTTATTTTATTTGTTAGGGTTGGTTTAGCTTTATGCTTTAAATGCATGTTGAATTTGTCTATTGTAAGAAGCCCCCCAGCCACTTTTAGAACATGGAAAGCCATAAATAAATACACAAGTAAACCAAGAGCACTCAGCAAGGTGGTCTTCTCCAGTAATAAATGCAAAACTCCGGCGTGGATTTTGGTTCTTAGCCATACCCGATGCCTTCCTGCACTGCTTGGATGCATCCGGTAACTGTTTAGTTTGCTTTCCGAAAACTCAGGGTCATGTGCACACGTGCACCCAGATGGGTGTGGCTTTGCTACACCTCCAGGGGAGCTGCAAGTAGATTTAGGATACATTGTTCAGGGCTCAATATAATCCTTCTTTTTCAAATTGTGGGAAGTGAACAATTGAATCCATTTTAAGTGTGTTGTTTTCCTCATTCTCAAAGCCATCATAGTTTCCGGGGGCCTGGAGAGCCTCATTCATCTCAGACTCCCATTCGGCCGCCAGCACAGCCCAATGAGGCTTCGCTCCCAGCGTCTCACTTTGTACACACAGACGTGAGGACTCTGCTTCAGAAATGAGGAGTCTGGAACATTCTC